CTAATTAATTAGATTGGGCGGGAGAGGGGTGGGGTGGGAGAGGGGGCCGACGTCCCCATTCACTGCACCGCGGCCGCCACTCAGCCGGCAGCCCCGCGCAGGCCCGGCCGGCCCCGAGTCACGTCTGTTGAAACCGTTTCTTCGGCCTCGCTCCCACACGCCTCGGCAGCCCGCCTCGCCTTCGTACACGCCGGCGGGGGCGCCGTGGAGCCTTGAACCGTCCTACGGGATGGGGTGGACGGCGGGGAGCGAAGCGGGCCCCACGCAGGGAAGGAATTTCCTGGGCCACTGCGATAAGGGGGACGAGAAAGATTGAGGCTCAGAAAGCCAGAGAGAGACGTGCGAGGAAGAGGAGAGGGGCCGGAGCCGCAGGGAAAGGGGAGCGCGGGGCAAGGAGGAAGAGCAGGAGAAAGGGAGAAGAGAGAAGGGAATGGGGGCGCACGAAGGCAGCGGGCGGAGGAGGGGAGCGGACGGGAACGTGCGCGCGAGGAAAGCCAAGCCGGACCACCGCGCGGGCAGGGGACGGTCGCTGAGGGGCTGTGCCGAGAAGTCGGGGGGAGGCTGGACCGCGGGCCGCGGGACTCCTGGACAGCGCGAGGCGGCGCGGGGACTCCACTCCCTCTGAGGGGCTGGGGCGAGGGGGCTGGGGGGAGCGGTTGGGGGTCTGGGCGCGGCGCGGCAGCATTCTTCGCCTTTTCTTCCTCCGGCTCATTCCGGCCGATCGATACCTGCGCGGGACCTGCCCCCGCCGCTAATATCTTTTTAATGAGTTCGCCAGGCTTAAAGCGAGCGCGATCTGCCCTCCAGGGTGGATTTTCCCCCGGCAGATGTTTCGGGAGGAGGAGGCGCTCCGAGCTCCTGGGAGGGGGGACAAATCTCTCCCACCGAGGGGCGAGAGCAGGAGACTTTCTTCTAAAGTTCAAAAGAAAGACGGGCTTTCACTCGGCCCCCAAAAAATGTATTTCTCGGCGGACAATGGGCTTCTTTCTGCGTCTCTGAGGGCCGGCCGGGCGGGAGAGGCGGGGACCAGTGCGCTTTGGCTCTGCCTGACCTACTCGCACCCCCCACACACACCCAGGCCGGGGCCCCCGAGCAAGGACGCAGGAGCCGCGAACTCAGACGCCCCTCCGAGCATCCCCATTAAGCGCGCTGTCTGGACCTGGCCGTCCCGGAGCTGAGCCCCGGCGCACCGGCGAGAACCAAAGTGTCCTGCGGGCTGGGGCGCGGGGCCGGGGAGCCCTGGGCTGTCCCACGCGCCCCTGGTCTCGCAGGTGCCTCAGCCGGGCCGAAGGGGCGCGCTCTGGTGCCTCGAGGGGAGGCCGGAGGAATCTCCGGGCTTGGGCCAAGGCATCCTTCCCCTCGGCGCTCTGCCCTGCGCTGGGCAACAAGTAGAAATTAGCCGGCCCCGAGCGGTTGCCCGGCTCTGAGCCTGTCTTGCCCGCTCGGGCCTGGCCACCCCTCCGGGTCGCCCCCTGCCCGTCTCCTCCACTCCCCCTTAAGTGTCCCTCTATGGGGCTGTCGGCGTGCCGCGGCAGCCTGCTCGCCACTCTCGTGGGCTCCGGGGAAGGGGGCACCCGGGCGGCGAGGTGACCTCCGAAGAGCCGCGGCAGATTGATTCGTTCCGCCCGGAGCCGGGGCCGCGTGAATAGGGGCCCGGGCGGCGGCGGCAGCGGCGGCGACGGGGATAAAGATGTTCTCCCTGAAAGGGGGAGGGGGCGCGGAGCGGGAAGCGGGGCCATTCACTCCTGGCCCGGCCTCTGGGGAAGCCGCGCCGAAGAAAGGGGGCCGGGGCCTATTCAAGTCCTACGAGCCGCCCACAATGGCCCGATATACTGGGGGCCTCTCTATTAACGCCCATGAATATTAAAGAGATCGCCAAGAGGCGGCCAGCGGGCGAGGGGGGCGGCAGTGTCCGCGAGCTCCGGGCCGGCCGAGGGGAGGGAGCTTTGGCGCGAGCACATTCCGCGCCTGGGCCCCGTGGAAAATGACAAAACGACACGGGTCATCCGCTGGGAAAGCTCGGAATGTTTCTTCTCGAAATCTCCTCGGGGGAAGATGCCAGCACAGGGTCTTGTTCCCCGTTTCAACGCACCTTGATTCCGGGCGCTACCTACAGGCTCCCTTTTCGCGGGGCGGGGATCCGGGTGGGTTTGCGGCTAGACCAGAAGCACAAAAAGTGAGCACAGTAGAGACCTGGACGCACCAGCTGGGAGGCTGTTCTGGGCCCCGCTTCTGCCCCGCTCCCAGCAGGGCTCCCCGGGTTTGCGGGTCCGGAGGAGAGGAATGGGATTCCCTGGCAGCAGTCCGAGCCCTTGGTCACTGCGCCAGCGGAATCCAAACTTCTCACTCTAAGCCGGGGTCCAGGACTCAAATGCTGCACCCTAGCACAGAGGAAGCACAGACCTAAGGGCTTCCCGCAGTGGGACGTGGCCCTGGAGAGGGCCAAATCCTCGGGACTGTCGCGGGAAAGTGATCTGACCCAAAGTGAGACCAAGCAAGAAACAGTTCACAAAGTCTAACCCAAACCATTGCACAGATAGGGACACTGAGGCCCAGAAAGGAAAGGGGCAGTCCACACGTCACTCAGCAGTCCTCATCCCTCTTTGATCTCCTGGATAAAATGAGGGAGCTTTCGGGGCTTAGGATCTGCTGCAGCGCATGGCTCCTGGCAGCGCTCCCCGACGACATCTCCTCGGCTCTCAGCACTTTCTCCTCTCCACCTAGGTCTTGCTAGAAGCCAAGGAGTAGGCGCCGGTGAGGCTCCCCTGCAGGAGCCATCGGACTCCATACGCCCCCTCAGACTCCAGCCCTAGCCAGGGAGCCGAAGTAAACCTCGGGCTGCGTCGGAAAAGGTGTGGAGGTTTCGGGGACCCTAGCCCATCTCCCTCCTCAGCAGCGCTGCCCTCTGCTGGCGCCCTGCCCAACGGTCCTGCCTTCTGCAGGGTGCGCCCTGCCCTGGGCGCCAGCCTCAGGCGGACCCGGGCGCCGGGGCTGAAGGCCAGCTACCACCGTCTTCCTCCTCCCTTTGCGTCCCAGTGGGGACGGGGGATGCCGGAGACTACTGGCAGGAGCTGGGGACCAGGGGTCTGGAGTCTGACCGTCCGGGGTGAGGTCCTCTTAGTCAGGGAACGCCCGGGTGGTGGAGGGGCCTCTTTGTCTAGAGGCGTTCGGACAGGGTTTCGCTTACGGAAGGTCAGCTCGCTGCCCTTCCACCCAAGTCCCCCGCGCTGCGGGAAAGGTCTGAGGAATCCACACCGTACAGCGGAGACTACCCCGCGAGCCTGACCCACGCCGCGAGGGTCCAAGCACCTCCCTTAGCGGCATCTGAAATTGCAGCCTCGCGGGGTGGGGGGGAGCCAGAAGTGCGGCAGGTAGGGAGGTGTCCCGAGCTCTCTCACCAGATGTGTAAGGTTTGGGGTCTGAGGCTTGAGGCTGACCTGGGGGGCGGCGAAGCCTGCAGGAAGCGGGGGCCTTCCGCCAGAGAGAAGGAACCGCTGGGCTCCGAGGTGCCTCGAAACCGCCGCAAAGCAAGTCTACTCTTGGCGTGATGTGCAAGAGGAAAGGAGAGACTAGAGAGGCAGAAGAGAAAGAACCGGGAGGCAAGAAGGAATGGGCGCTGCAACGCCGAGGGCTTCCCCAGGCTGCTGCTCGGCCAGGAGCCCCGAGGCCGAGCCCGCACCACGGCCTGTCCCGGAGCCGCCCGCAGTTTCGGAGGGACTTCGCTCTCAGGCACGCCTGCTCCCACCTAGAAAGGGGTCTGGGGACCCCTTTCAATCCCCCTATGTCCCGTAGGAAATTCTTTTCCCAGCGACAGGCTGCCGGTGCGATTCCGGTCCTCCCATCTCGAACTCCGACCTGGCCCCGCAAGGGCCCGGAGCCTGGCCGCCCACGAAGCTGTTTCAGGCTTGGACCAGCCTCAGCCCCGACGGCGGCTGTGGCCCCGCCTCGGCAGACCCCTGAGCCCGCGGAGGAGCTTCGTAACCGGCTGCGCACAGCCAGCGAGTTGGCGCGGCCCCTTTGAAGCGAAGCGCCGGCTTCGGCAGAGCGGTCTGCGCAGGGGATCCGCGTGGCCACCGGGGCTGCGCGCGAGCTTGGGGCTACTGTGGCGGCCGGGGAAGTGCAGAGCCGCGGAGGGAAGAGGACGTGGGCCCGGGCCAGGGAGGGAGGGCCTTGCAGGGCTGGACCAGCCGGCAGGAGCAGTAGAGGAAAGGTGCACCCCGGGGCTGGGCCAGGCCGGTGAGAGTGCTTCAGGCCTAAAGGGAGCGCGGGGCCCGAAGCTAGGCGTCCCCTCTAGTCCACCCCGCTCCCTGGAGTCCTGGCGAGCCTCGCTGCCCCTCTCCCCTGCTCGGTCCCCTCCTCTCCTCACAGCCCACAGAGTCTCCCTCCCTGCCCCGCGCTTCCCACGGGGAGAGAAGAAAAAACAGGAGGGGGAAGGAAGGACCAGGGAGGGGAGGGAGGAGTGGAGGGGGACTGTTCGGAGCGGTCCGCGCGCCCCCGCCCCTCGCGCTCTTGCGACGAAGCTCCTCGAGCCCGGCCGGGTACAAGTCTGTCCTCCGACGTCAGGGGGTCATTAATAACCAATTAGGAGGGTCACTGCGGCTCCTATAAAGGCGCTGAGATTTTGCCAAGGGGAAGACGGCCCCGGCCGGGTGTGAGAGAGGCTAGTGCGCGTCTGAGAGCCCCTCGCTACCGCTTTCCGGCAACCACCCGCCTCTCTCCCACCCCGCACCCCCCGCACCCGCCTCCACCTCCACCCGCGTCTCTCCACCCTCTGCGCCGCCTCTGCCATCTCTGCAGATTTCCCCATCTCTCTTCCTCTCTGCCTGTCTCCTCCTTGTTCACTTTCCACCAGCCGCCCCCTCACCTCCCGCTCCCTCCTGTGTCCTCCTCCTCCTCTCCGTCCTCCCCCTGCTCCTGTTCCTTCTTCGCAGCCCTCTCCTCTCGCTCCTTGGGCTCCCCTCTCGCCCGCCCACCTTCCCCGTCAGCCGGGCCGTCCTCCGGCGCCGGGGAGCCCCGGGCCGCCCATGATGGGCTCCGTGCTCCCGGCTGAGGCCCTGGTACTCAAGACGGGGCTGAAGGCGCCGGGGCTGGCGCTGGCCGAGGTCATCACCTCCGACATCCTGCACAGCTTCCTGTACGGCCGCTGGCGCAACGTGCTCGGGGAGCAGCTCTTCGAGGACAAGAGCCACCACGCCAGCCCCAAGACGGCCTTCACCGCCGAGGTGCTCGCGCAGTCCTTCTCGGGCGGTGAGTCCAGCCGTCGGGGCCTGGCGCCACCCCTCCTCCCGGCAACCCTTATTCCGGTCCTGGCGGTGCACGCGAGACGCGGTTGGGATACACGGCCCCACTGCTCCTCGCTCCAACTTGGGCGCTCCCGGCGCTCCGTGCACCTCAGTTTCCCTGTGGGTGAAGCCTAGGCGCGAGCCGCCAAGCAGAGGTGGGTCGCAGAGCAGCTCCGCAGCCCACAAGGCTCAAGGACAGATCCCGGCGACCCCGTCGCCCCCGCCGGCCCCTCCCTTCCGCTCCCGCGCTGGAGCTGGCGGGTTCCCGGCATTTAAAGCCTTACTAGGCGTGTAATAGCAGTTGACTCAAAAAGAAGGGGTTTTAAATTCATTTAGTTAACTTGGGCTTGACCCGCGAAAGTTCCCACTTAAACCAAGAACTTTAAAAGGCAGCCGGGGCTGGGGAGGGGGCGGAGGGCGGGCAGGCCAGGAGAAAAAGCCGCGGGGAGAGCGAGGGAGAGAAAGAGAGAGCGAGAAAAGTTTCTTTTCTTTAAGATGTCTCAAGTTCTTATTCCTCATTCATCAACCCGCAAACAATATCTTTTCCCGGCTCTGGCTTATCTGCGCGTCGCCCTCTTTTCCCCCTTTACGATTTCTGTTCCTCTCTTAATTTACCGTGAAGACTAATTCCACTTCCATTCACGCTATGTCAACCATCTAATCCCCCCTTTTTGTAAGGGGAATTCCTCGGCCCCTTTTAAACAAGTCCCCTCCGCATTGAGCTACAATTTACTGCTACAGCATTCTTCCAGGGCTAATGAATTTAGAATTAGCAATTTCTTTCGAATGGAGCCGAGTGAATGCGATCACTTTAACAGCGTGACAAATTGCCCGCCGCGCCGCAATGGACACCGTTTAACCCCCCCTTTCAGCCGACCCGCTCGCCGGGTATTTTCCCAGGTAGCTTAGAGGGGAACCTTGTAAGACATGGAGGCCGCCCCTGTGCGCTTCGCAGCTCCCAGCCTGGCCGCAGAGGCCCGAGAGGGGAACCCTCGGGGGGCTGAGTGCCTCCGAGGCTCCTCCCAGTCCAGAGAGGACATCGGGGTTTGTCTGAGCCCGGGCGCTGCCCTCCCTGGCACCCCAGGGCCTGGGAGAAGAGAGGGACTCGGAGCGCCCGGGGTCACACAGCGAGCGCGGAGCCTGGCCAGCTGCTGCCAACTGCTGTTTCTTTGGCACCTCCAATGCCGTCCAGCCCGAGGTCTGTCCCCAGCGCTGACCACGTCCGGGTTCCTCTGCCAGTACCCAGAGCTCGGACGCACAGTGGGCTTCCGGAACCCGGCTAGGCGAAAGAGCCTCGGGTTGGCCTTCACCTCCTTTCGGGACTTGGCCTCAGTTTCCTCGTGCCTAAAACCGCTCACTGCCGTTGGCTCACTAATTCTTAAAAACTTTTCCGGGGCAGAGGACGGAAGAAGTTGTGAATGTTTTGAAGATTCGTGGAGAGACTAAAACCCGCTTTTAAAAATGATCCCCAACGCACCACTGGCTTTCCAGGGCACTGAGGGTCCCCGGGTTGCAAACAGAGGAGAGGTCGTTGAGCCTCCGCGCATCCGACTGCCCCCAACACCCGGGTGACCTCTCTGGATTTGGGGCCGACTTGGGGTTGGCCGGTCTGGGCAGGACCGAAGCCTGGGTCCCTGCGGGGAAGGAAGAGCCAGGCCTGGCTGCCTCCGGCTCTGACTGGTTTTCCTGCCTCCGCCGCCGCAGAGGTGCAGAAGCTGTCCAGCCTGGTGCTCCCAGCGGAGGTGATCATTGCGCAGAGCTCCATCCCTGGCGAGGGTCTCGGCATCTTCTCCAAGACGTGGATCAAGGCGGGCACCGAGATGGGCCCCTTCACCGGCCGGGTGATCGCCCCAGAGCATGTGGACATCTGCAAGAACAACAACCTCATGTGGGAGGTAGGCGCGGGCTGGAGCCGAGGGGCGGGGCGGGGGGCGCTGGCTCAGGGTGGGACCCGGGCTTCCGGTCGTCGCCACTTCCACCCGAGATGGGAGCAGCAGGCACTCCTGGCCTGGACAACCCCCTGAGCCGGGACTCTAAGCCGCCCGAACCTGGAGCTCACGCCGAACCTGGAGCTCACCCCGACTCTAGGCTCCCCCCAACACCTTGCCGCCTCAGAAGGCAGGGGAATATCCGACCCTCCTTCCTCCAGGACACCCGGGCAGAGCAGGAATGTTGTTGGCTCCACTTCGCAGATGAGGGTACTGAGACCCAGAGCAGCTAGGTCACTTATCCAGGGTCCCCACCGCCCTCCCTCCAGGTGACCTCCCAGCCCCTTACATTCTTTCCCTGGCCGGGGAAGCAGCGCCAGGAAAGCAGCTCAAGGCCAGTCCTGGCCTGGGGGTGAGGTAGGGCTGGAAAGGATGCCTAGTGAAGGCAGAATGACATGCACAATGACTGCGGCTGAGCTGCCATTGAGTCAGCTTCTGTGTCCCCAGCTTGAGTCACGGATGACTTCAGCAGCCCATGCCTTATTATTCCCATTTTATAGAGGGAAACCTCAGCTCCAAGAGGCTTCCATCTTATGCCTTCCCACCCCTCACTGTGACAGGTGCCAGGGAGGGCCTCACTGTACTTCCTCCTACCTTGCAGGGTGGGAAACCCACTGAGGCCAGACTGGTGCAACCCCTTCCTAGTCCCATTCCCTCACCCGCTTCTCCCAACCAGCCCCCTCCTGGCAGACCCTGAAGAAGCCCAACTGGATAGAACTGGGGAATGACCCAGAGGCCTCTCCTGACCTCATTTCTCCCTCCTCTGGAGGCCTGGGCCACTAAAAAACTACCTTTTCCAGTTGCTGGGTCAGGAAGTTGGGGTCCAGTTTGACTTCTGAGTGGCCTTGGCAGCTCCCATGAAGGGGTTTAGACCAAGCTAGAGTGCCACAGCGAGCCAGTCCTCCCTCCTGGGGCTCTGGTGCCCTCCCTCTCTGAGGCCCTGGCTGATGTTCTCAGTGCCATGGGGAGCACCTCTGCATCTCCTAAAATTGCTCAGGGCCACTTTGGGCAGTGACACCTTGGAGACTCTTTTCTTCTGAGGGCAGGGAGGACATGGCAACAGGAGCATGGATCTTGGTCAGCCCACCGTGCCCTGGAGACTGACCCCCTGTGGGCCACTTCCAGATGGCTAGCCTCAGGCAAGTCCCTGCGCCTCTCCGGCCTTCCTTTCCATGACTGGAAAACGAAGCTTTATCCACTTCCCGGGGCTGCTGTGAGGATGGAGAGTGTGTGTGTGCGTGTGCGTGTGTGTGTGCGTGCCTGGAAGATCGTACATGTGGCATAGCCCTGCCTTACCTGATCCTTGATCCATTTGTGCCCAGGTGTTCAATGAGGATGGAACGGTGCGCTACTTCATCGATGCCAGCCAGGAGGACCACCGGAGCTGGATGACCTATATCAAGTGTGCACGTAACGAGCAGGAGCAGAACCTGGAGGTGGTCCAGATCGGCACCAGCATCTTCTACAAGGCCATCGAGGTGTGTGTGTGCACCGTTGTGCAGGGACCAACCAGCAAACCTGGCGGGGGGAGGTGTGCAGGGCAGTGGCATCCAAGAACCACAGCAGACAGTGGGGACCTGACACTGGCCTAGCCAGCCTTACTCAGGCCATGCGGCTGCGGCAGACAGCTGGTCTCCAGACACCCTGCTCTCCAGTGTGTGACCTCCATTCGAAGTTTTCTGCTGCAGATCAGAAAGGATGGAACTCTCAACTTGATGCCATTGGGAACGTCACAAGCATCTCAATAGTGAGATCCCTGGAGGTTGGCTGGGGGGGGGGTCCCAAGGTTCAGGGGTCAGAGAGACACAGAGAAGCAAGATGGGGAGAGGCAGCCCAGGGAATGCATTGGTGGGGAGGCAGGGCGTGTGTCTGCCACCGTTTAGCTGTCTGAGGTCCCTCATTCTGCATGTACGAGCACCAGTGGCTTATGGCTCATGAGTCAAGTCTCAGCGATGGCTCCCTGTGTGTCGGGCTTTCAGATAATAGATAAGCAGTATGGCCTTTAATCCCCACGGACCCCCAGAGGAGGATTTTGTGATTATTTACAGTTTATAGGCCAGAAAAGCAGGTCTCCTTCAGTGACAGCAGACCTGGGAATTTTGCAGGACATCTGGGGAGATTGTTAGCACTAATAGCTGTGCTTTCTGAGCCTTCTCGTAGGAGACAGGGCCAGATAACAGGCTGGACGCACTGGCTCACGCTTGTAATCTCAGCACTTTGGGAGGCCGAGGTGGGTGAACTCCTGAGGTTAGGAGTTCAAGACCAGTCTGGCCAACACAGTGAGACTTTGTTTCTACTAAAAATACAGAAATAAGCTGGGCGTGGTGACAGGACCTATAATCTCAGCTACTCTGGAGGCCCAGGCCCAGGACAGAGGTGGCTTCAACACAGGAGGCAGAGGTTGCAGTGAGCTGAGATTGTGCCACTGTACTCCAGCCTGGGTGACACAGTGAGACTCTATCACAAAAAAAAAAGGATAACAGACAGATAAATATCACTTCCCATGGTGTGGCAGGGGTGAGGCTGAGCCAAGAAGGTTCAGAGGAGAATAGGAAGAGGAGGGCTTCCTGGCAGGGCAGTGCTTGGGCAGAGGCAGGAAAGCTCCAGGTGTCTGCGCAGCGGCTGAGGGTGCAAACCAAGCAGAGAGCTGGTCGCCAGGCAGCTGGTCCCACATGGGGACCCGCCCTGGATAGTGTCCCTTGGCAGGAAATCTGGCCCAGGAGTAGAGGGAAGCCACCCACCAGCTGGTGGGAACAGGCTGGTGGCAAATGCTGTGTGGAGGTGGTCAGGCTCTTCCTATCACACTTCTCTGCTCTCCGCGGGGTGGGGCTGGGGCTTGGTGGAGTTCTTCAGATGTTCCGTAGGAGCAGAGAACGACTGACCTTTAGTCCATGTTCCATTTTCTCCCCGGGACTCAGATCCTGAAGCTCTTTCTAAGACCCCGGGGGGCGCCAAGGCCTAGTAGCTTCTGGGACGGGTTCCTTTGGTTGTCCCTGAATAATAAGGCCCCAGGGACTGTCCCAGAGGTGACAGCAGGGGTCCTAGCCTGGGTCCCAGCTGAGGGGGGTGCTTGGATGAGCAGGAGGTGGAGGATAGAAACAGGTGAGTGGTTCCTGGATTGGGCTTCAAGTGAGGTAGGATGGCCATGGGGCAGGGTGCAGAGAGGACTGAAGGTGGCCCAGGCCCACGACAGAGATGGCTCCTGTGACCATCCGGCTGTGCCACCACATTCTAGAATTGACTTCCAGTGTAGTTGAGCCCCACACCTAACAGAATGCACCCTCCCAGATCCTCACCTCACCACCCTCTGTCACACACATCTTCACCCGCATACCCTCCTTCCAACCATCCTTATACAGATGCAATGGAGGACTCCCACTCCCCTCACCCCCCTACACACACTCGTGGGAACACAAGAGACAGACCAACATCATTTTGGCAAGAGGGCTCCAGGCTGGGGCAGACGTGGGGGCCTGAGTCTCATCTGTCTGTGCAGGTCACACCAGTTAGAAGCCAAACAAACTCAGGAAATATGAATAGATATTTAGAAATTCAGTCCAAGGGCAAGGAGCTGAAGAATATCTTCAGGGAAGCATCTGAGTTTATAGGATAAGGAAAAATGGTCATCTACATTCTATCAGGAATTTACGTTGAAAAAAGAGGATCAGGCAGGGACGGTGGCTCACTCCTGTAATCCCAACAGTTTGGGAGGCTGAGGGGGACAAATCGCCTGAGGTCAAGAGTTGGAGACCAGCCTGGCCAACATGGTAAAATCCTGTCTCTACTAAAAATACAAAAATTAACCAAGCATGGTGGCAGGTGCCTGTAATCCCAGCTACTTGGGAGGCTGAGGCAGGAGAATTGCTTGAACCTGGGAGTTGGAGGTTGTAGTGAGCTGAGATCAGCACCATTGTACTCCGGTCTGAGTGACAAAGTGAGACTCCATCTCAACAACAATAATAATAAAAAAAAGAGGATCAGGACGCACTCACACACAATATCATATATGTGATACAGATAGGTCCACTGATTTAGCTATCAGTGCTTTCCCTTCTAAGAAGGGACTGTTTGCATGAAGGACGAGAAAGCAAAATGCCACACATTTTACTTTTAAAGTAAATTTGGATACATTTTTTTTGGCAACCATTTCGTCAAAATGTCAGATTTCACTTACGGGATAAATTCCACCCTCGAGATGAGGCTGAAGCCCAGTGCTCATGCAGCCCTTCTGGACTAGACCAGAAGACACTGCTGCTCCCCAGGCCACTCCCAGGATGCCTCAGGAATCAGTCGGCTGTTTGTTCTGTGCGTGTGGGTGAGTTAACCAAGGACAGTGACCTCTACGGTGATGTTTTCTTGAACTTACTGCCACTCAGAACCGCTATTCATATTTCATAACAATAACCCATTACTTGCCAAAAATAGGAAGGAACTTTTTTTTTTTTTTTTTTTTGAGACGGGGTTTCGCTCTTGTTACCCAGGCTGGAGTGCAATGGCGTGATCTCAGCTCACCGCAACCTCCGCCTCCTAGGTTCAGGCAATTCTCCTGCCTCAGCCTCCTGAGTAGCTGGGATTACAGGCACGTGCCACCGTGCCCAGCTAATTTTTTGTATTTTAGGTAGAGACGGGGTTTCATCATGTTGACCAGGATGGTCTCGATCTCTTGACCTCGTGATCCACCCGCCTCGGCCTCCCAAAGTGCTGGGATTACAGGCGTGAGCCACCACACCCGGCCCAGGAAGGAACATCTTTATTCAACAAGCAGAATATACTACTGCTGTTCTAAAACTTTTCATAAATACAGAATAACAGCCCTCTCAACAGAGACGAAGGCAACGGGGCTTTAGAGCCCAGGCAGTGAGTGGAGGGTCCTCAGCAGGGTGTGCATCTGGCCAGATCCACTGAAGTGATCCCTGGGGAACCTCCTGGCTTACTCCAGTCACAGAATGTACTATAACCTCAGGTGCCCAAAATGACAGTTCTAGAAAGTGTCTAGCACATGGCGAGTGGCCACTAAATGAAGGAATAAAGGGGCTTAGCAACATTTTTTTTCCTTTGAGACAGAGTCTTACTCTGTTGTCCAGGCTGGGGTGCAGTGGTGCAATCTTGGCTCACCACAACCTCTGCCTCCCGGGTTCAAGCAATTCTCTTGCCTCCCAAGCAGCTGGGATTACAGGCTCCACACCAGGCTAATTTTTGTATTTTTAGTAGATTTCCCCATGTTGACCAGGCCGGTCTCGAACTCCTGACCTCAAATGATCCACCCACCTCGGCCTCCCAAAGTGCTGGGATTACAGGTGTGAGCCGCTGCACCTGGGCAGCAACTTTTAAAAAATAGAATCTGCTCAGCCCTTGGTGTGCTGCTATTACTATCCCCATTTTTACAATGGTAAAATTAAAATGTTCAGGGAGATTACGGGAGGTTGTTGAGCTGTGATTGAAACCCAGGCTCGTCTGACCCCAGAGCCGGAGTGCTGAATCACATGCCATGTGGCCTCCCTGGCCAATATCTGTTTGCTGGAACTCTATTAATTGGTGTGTCGGGACATCTGTGGTACAATGGAAATTGATGTTTGTCCAGATGACATTGAGATCCTTTTACACTGGGGCTGCGGCTCCCTGGAGAAGGGGAGGGTATTTGCAGTCTCCAGGGAGCGTGTTCAGTGGGAGGACATAAATTTACAGCAGGAAAACAAGCCAAAAATTCTGTCATTTCCAATTTATAATAAAAATTCAGAAAGTGGGGCGGGACAGGCCTTCTGGGCTCATACGGATGGTTGAGAAGCACGTTGAGAGGGTATGTGTGTTTGTCAACAAAAGACTCAGGCACTGGTATTCCAGAGTTTTGCCGATGTAGATTTTGTGGTACAGGACTCAGTTCCTTTGGGAATTGCTTTGTTTGTTTTGTGTTCTAAGCCTATTCCTGCTCCCCAGAAAAGTGACAGACCAGCTGATCTTGCTTCTCCGAGCCCCAGCAGAGAGCCTGGCCAGCCAGGCCAGGCCCGAGTCTCAGCAGTAAAGAGTCAGTGCTGCTGAGGGGGCCTACAGACCACAGTGGCTGTTCTTTGCATCTGGGCCGTCGGCTGGTGGGACCCTGGCAGCCTCTGCACGGTCAGCCCAGGGTTCCAGGGAAGAAGCTGCGGGTTCCAGGTTTTCCTGGGCTTGATAGTAGAAGTTTGTTGATGGAGGGTACCTGTGAGCAGGCAGACACCAGAGGCCTGGGCAGGGGACACTGAAGGGCAGAGAGACACTCCCAGTTCCCCTGCCTCTGGGCAGGTGAGGCTGTCTCCCTACTGCTGCTGGCTTCTAGCTGGCTGGAAATATACATCATTCTCAATTCCAGTAGGCTTTTGTTTTTTTCTTTTGGAGACAATTTTGTTCTGTCTCCCAGGCTGCAGTATTCAGCTCACCACAACCTCCACCTCCTGAGTTCAAGCAATTAAGCGATTCTCGTGCCTCAGTCACATGAATAGATGTGAGTACAGGCATGCGCCACCACTCCCAGCTAATTTTTTTTTCTTTCTTTCTTTTTTCTTTAATTAGTAAAATGAATTTTAGTACATTAAAAGCATTCTAGGCCGGGTGGCTCACACTTGTAATCCCAGCACCATGGGAGGCTGAGGTGGGTGGATCATGTGGTCAGGAGTTCGAGACCAGCCTGGCTAAGATGGTGAAACCCGTCTTTACAAAAAATAAAAATAAATTTTAAAAAATACAAAAAAACCCCACATTCTTAGTAAATAACTCACCCTTATACTATAATAGTCCCCATCAGAGCTCTTATTTTATTTTATTTATTTATTGAGATGGAGTTTAGCTCTGTTGCCCAGGCTGGAGTGCAGTGGCACAATCTCGGCTTACTGCAACCTACTCCTTCTGGGTACAAGTGATTCTCCTGCCTCAGCTTCCTGAGTAGCCAGGATTACAGGTGTGCACCACTATGCCTGGCTCATTTTCTATTTTTAGTAGAGACAGGGTTTCACATGTTGGCCAGGCTAGTCTTGAACTCCTGACCTCAAGTGATCCACCTGTCTCAGCCTTCCAAAGTGCTGGGATTATAGACACGAGCCACGGCACCTAGCAAAACTCCTTTTTTTTCTCTTTTCCCAAGATGGAGTCTTGCTCTGTCACCCAGGCTGGAGTGCAGTGGCTCAATCTCAGCTCACTGCAACCTCCGCCTTCCAGGTTCAGGCAGTTCTCTTGCCTCAGCTTCCTGAGCAGGTGGAATTACAGGCACATGCCACCACGCCTGGCTAATTTTTGTATTTCTAGTAGAGATGCGGTTTCACCATGTTGGCCAAGCTGGTCTCAGACTTCCGACCTAAAGTGATCTGCCCGCCTTGTCCTCCCAAAATGCTGGGATTACAGGCATGAGCCACCGAGCCCTGCCTACTGTTATATATTTATTTGATATTTAATAATAGTTATTTTTAATTAAAATTAAAAGGCTAGTGTTGGCTTAGTATTTAATGACCCCTCAGACCTGCAGCCTGGAGGTAGAGTTCAGCTGGGGCTCCCTCCCATCTTTGCTGGAGGAGTTGGCTTCTCTTCTGGGGAGATGGGGCTGGGAACTGGGAGTACCTTCATGGGGCTGGTGTCATTGGAGTATTCGGGCCTAGCCTGTGCTCTTGCTGGACACTGAAGGCAGAACCCCAGGTCACGCTGGGCTTCCACGGTTCCAGTGGCCTCTGCCACGCTGCTTGATCAGTGAGTATTCGTGCAGGGACTTGGATGTGCCAGAAACCGCCGCCAGCTTCTCTGAGACGCAGGCGAGCTCCAGGAAAATAATCGCTGGCGCTTCCATGTCTGGACTGTGCAAAGAGCTTTATGCATATGGCTCTGCTGCACCCCAAAAACCACTTAGTGAGGCCATGGCAGTGTGAGAAAACAGGCCCTGCGATGTGAGGGAACTTGCCCAAGGTCACTCGCTCAGCAGATGGGGAGCCCTGGCGGACCCCCACATGTCTGACTCCAGACTGGGCGGGAACCCTCTGCAGGGCATGTTCAATAGTCTGGGGGAGGATGCTGATTGCTTTGAAGGAACCATGACATGAGCATGTCTGGTTTCAGCCAAGACTTGAAGCCAAGGATTGGCACAATGTTGGAGGTGACTTACAACCAAGAGTCTTAGAGTTGGGGGCACCTCAGGGACCATATTCCTTGACCCCGTCATTTGAGGAGCACAGAAAAGCAAAGTGAGTTGCCTAAGGTCACACAGGGACCTGGTGAGAGAGGGCTCATCTGAACCATCTGATAGACTTACTTCCTTCACAGTTAATTTATGTGAAATATTTCAGTTCCATCGTCTGCATTTCTGGGAGGTCCACAAAACCTCTTCCTTCCATCCCAGTGAGGTCTGGCAAAAAAGTAAAATTTTTAAAACTGTAAAAAACAAACAAACAAACAAAAACCACCCGAATCAGAACCTCTTTCTTCTCTGCCCCTTTCCAGCTGAGGCCTCCACCTCTGACCTGCTGGCCTCCTGGACAGCGGCTATGACTGTGAATGAGGAGAGAGGGCACCAGGACTCTCGCTGTGGTGCCAGATTCTAATCTGTTCATTTTCTTGGAGGCACCATCTAACTTTCTGTGGCTTCTGGGACTGCACTTGGTGTCTCCATGCTGGCTTCTTGTCACTTACTTACCCTGAGGCTCACCATGATGCCCTGTGAACCATGGGAGGATGTGGAAATGCATGTGGTGATTCTAGGTGGAATCTCAGGAGGATGACCGTCACCTAGGCCCCCTCCCACCTGCTGTCCTCATCCCTTTTCTTTCTACCTCCCTCCCCTCTTCCCTTTTTTTTTTTTTTTTTTTCTTGAGACAAGGTCTTGCTCTGTCACCCAGGCTGGAGTGTAATGGTGCAATCTCAGCTCACTGCAACCTCTGCCTCCTGGGATCAAGCAATTCTGCCTCAGCCTCCCAAGTAGCTGGGACTATAGGCATATGCCATCACGCCTGGCTATTTTTTCTTTTTTTGTAGAGACGGGGTTTTGCTATGTTGCCCAGGCTAGTCTCAAACTCCTGGCCTCAAGGAATTGCCCACCTTGGCCTCCCAAAGTGCTGGGATTACAGGCATGAGCCACTGCGCCCGACATCCACTTCCCCCTTTTCAGGGGTGAGCAGAGCTTGCTGCTATGCTCTGAGGGTCTTCCAGGCTCTGACAGAGGAAGGAAGATGCGGTGAACCAGAGTTCTGAGTGCTGGCTCTGCAGGCTGAACCAGACAGAAGCAGAGGGGCCCTTCTCTCCAACCACAGAAGCCAGTGTGGGGTTCTGCTTTGGCATGGTTTCAGACAACTCTATATTTGCTTTTTTTTTTTTTTTTGAGACAGAGTCTCACTCTGTTGCCCAGGCTGGAGTGCAATGGCACAATCTTGGCTCACAGCAACAACCTCCACATCCCAGATTCAAGCAAATATCCTGCCTTAGTCTCCCAAGTAGCTGGGATTACAGGCATGCGCCACCATGCCCGGCAAGTTTTTTGTATTGTTAGTAGGGACAGGGTTTCATCATGCTGGCCAGGCTGGTCTCCAGCCATCTAACCTCAGGTGATCCACCCACCTCAGGCTCCCAAAGTGCTGGGATTATAGGCATGAGTCACCACACCTGCCTGGGTTTCAGACACCTCTAGATGGAATTCCATGTGATCTTTTGTGCTTCAATTAAAAAAGGAACCACCAGGGAAACAAACCAGCTGTTGCCTGGGAGTGTCTGGGTTTTTCCGGGCACATCAGATAGTGGCCCCCCGGGTCAGGTGCCAAGGCCAGCACTTCTGGGATCCAGGCCTCGGGAGAGTGACAGGTGTCCCCTCTCTCATATGCCCTGCCTGGCTAGGGCCTGGAGCTTCCCCACTTGGGAAGGGTAAGTGGCTTCCATGAGAGGCCTGGCAGGCCCCTTGGGATGTCCTGGAGTGTGTGGTGTTTATGATCAGTGCCACCCCAGGAGCAGGACCCTTATGGCTCCCTGGATCGCCACCGCAAAACCCTCTGACTAACATCCTTTGCCATGATTCTGAGGCAGGTCCTCCCCCAGAGCAGCAGAGCCCCAACACCATTTGTGAGGTTCTCTGTCATCGACCTAGGACGTGGTGAACAGGACTCTGTGTGAAACAGTGCACGCCATCATTTCCTGGGGTAGAGGTGTTCATCTATCCAAATGCTGCTTTTTAGCATCTGCCACATGCATGGAGACACTCAGAGCCCTGTGCTTGGTCAGGAAGTACCTGTGATGTGGGCTGCCGATGGGAGCTATGGATAAGAGATGTTTCCCGAACATTATCCCCGCAGGGGGTAGCCAAGTACCCTAGGGTGTCCCACAGCCCACGCTCCTTGAAAACATCTGGCTCAGCCCTGCAGCCCCGGGGGCTGGCTGACTCTAGTTCCCCTGCGTAAGAATTGAAAAGTCTTCTAGTTTTCCATCTTCCATTACTTCTGCTTGCTGCAAGGCGTCCATTCTGGTGTTGTCAGCTTGGAAGCCCTCCTGTGGCTGCAGCTTGGACAGAGATGGCAAGAGGGCCTGGGCAGGGAGAGGAGAGTAGAGCAGCTTGACATCCCCAGGGCCTTTCGTTTTTGTGCAGCTTGCCGGGACGGCTCAGTGGAAATGGGCCTGTGTGGCTTTCTGGGGGCTGAGACTGGGTCCAGATATCATGGCTGTGAAGGGTTGCTTAGAGATCCCCGACTCTCACTTCCCGGCTGCCGCCTCCCTGACCTCCTCTTGCCCCCTTCCCTGCAGATGATCCCACCGGACCAGGAGCTGCTGGTGTGGTATGGAAACTCACACAACACCTTCCTGGGGATCCCTGGTGTGCCCGGGCTAGAGGAGGACCAGAAAAAGAACAAGCATGGTAGGTTTTCCCCATGGGGCCACTGAAACACAAACCCATGGAGAGGGGAGCCCAGGGAGGCCAGAGAGAGAGAAGGAGAGAGGCAGGGAAGCTCCCGGCCTCCAGGGACCTTGGTTTAATGTCTGGCAGCGTTGAGCGGCTAAGACATACAGGTCCAAGGAGGCTGATGCCACTGGAGCTGCCGCATGGGCCAGGCAAGGGTGGAAGATGGTCCTCCTGCTTCTTGGCCAGAAGAGACTGGGGAGTACATGGGGGAGACCAGAGAGGCAATGAGGTGTGGCAGGAGAAGAAAGGAGTTGGGCAGCAGGAGCCTGGACTGAGTCCTAGTTCTGCTCTGCAGTCTTGGAAATGCTCTGTGCTTTAGTTTCCTCATCTGTAAAGGGAAGGTGCTGGGCAAGATCATCTCTAGTTCCCTTCCGGCTCTGTATATTTCCTTGCCTTGTCACTGATGTCCAGTGCAGGGCCTGGCACAGAGTAGATGCTCAGTGTAAGCCTTTAGAAGGAAGGCAGGACAGAATGTGCCTGTGTGTGTGCTGGGGGACACTGCCCATCACAGCAGAGACCATTTGCTCAATACCTATTTCTTGCCAAGAATTGGGCTAAGCCGGGTGTTGTGGCTCACACCTGTAATCCTAGCACTTTGGGAGGCTGAGGCGGGTGGATCACGAGGTCAAGAGATCAAGACCATTGTGGCCAACATGGTGAAACCCTGTTTCTACTAAAAATACAAAAATTAGCTGGGCGTGGTGGTACACACCTGTAATCCCAGCTACTCGGGAGGCTGAGGCAGAACTGCTTTAACTTGGGAGGGAGAGGTTGCAGGGAGCTGAGATTGCACCATTGCACTCCAGCCTGGAGCCTGGCAACAGAGCAAGATTCTGTCTTAAAAAAAAAAAAGAAGAAGAAGAATTGGGCTAAATCTTTGGCAGATATCATCCCACTAGGTCTTCCTAAAACCTCTGTAAAAAAAATTTTTTTTTTGAGATGAAGTTTCACTCTGCCACTCAGGCTGGAGTGCAGTGGTGCAGTCTTGGCTTGCTGCAACCTCTGCCTCCCAAGCTAAAGCGGTTCTCCTGCCTCAGCCTCCAGAGTAGCTCAGATTACAGGCGCCCACCATCACACCCAGCCAATTTTTGTGTTTTTAGTAGAGATGGGGTTTTGCTATGTTGGCCAAGCTGGTCGAGAACTCCTGACCTCAAGCGATCTGCCCAACTTGGCCTCCTAAAGTGCTGAGATTACCTGTGTGAGCCACTGCACCTGGTCTGTGAACTTTTATTATCCATCTTTTTATTTATTTTTGAGACAGGGTCTCTGTCTGTCACCCAGGCTGGCAGTGGCATGATCTTGGTTCACTGCAGCCTCAAACTGTCCTCCCACTTCAGCCTCCCAGGTAGCTGAGACCACAGTCGTGTGTCACCACACCTGGCTAATTTTTAAAATTTGTTGTAGAGATGGGGTCTCGCCATGTTGTCCAGCTGGTCTGGAATCATAGGATCAAATGATCTCCTGCCTCTGCCTCCCAAAGTACTGGGATTATAGGCATGAAGCACCGTGGTCAGTGGTTCTTATTTTTGAAGGATGAACCTGAGGCTGGTGAGCTACCGTTTATTAAGCCCTTGCTCTGCAGCTAATGTTTTACAAACATTAATTTCTCTAGGCCGGGCATAGTGGCTCATGCCTGTAATCCCAGCACTTTGGGAGGCAGAGACAGGAGGATTACTTGAGCCCAGGAGTGCCAGATCAGCCTAGGCAACATGGCAAGACCCTATCTCTACAAAAAAATTTAAAAATTAGCCAGGTGTAATGGCCCGAGTCTGTGGTCCCAGCTACTTGGGAGGCTGAAGTGGGAGGATCGCTTGAACCCGGGAGATCGAGGCTGCAGTGAGCCGAGATGGCACCACTGCACTCCAGCCTGGATGACGGAGCTAGACACTGGCCAAAAAAAAAAAAAAAAAAAAAAAAAAAACGTTTTCACTGATTCTTACCAGGCTTATGAGGGCGATGTTAATATTACCTCCATTTCAGGAAGGAGAAAACCAAGGCGCAGTTCCCTGGTACAGAGTAGACACTCAGTAAATGTTTGTGGGATGAGTTAATGAAAGGTTTGTGGGCGGGGGCCATCATAATTGCCTGCTCCAGTCCAGGCACCCTTCAGACACCCGCTAAGGCAGGTCGGGTGCTTAGCGCAGAGACTTTCCATCGACGTCCTTTCTTATCCTCTCGGGCAACCGTGGGCCCGCCCGGAGAGGCAGCGCTAGGTTTCCACTTTACAGATGAGAAAGCTGAGGTTTAGCGAGGCTAAGTCAAGTCCCCGAGGTCTCGCATCGCGATTGGGAGTCCAACTCCTATTCGACCCCCTAGGGGACCCTTCGCTGTCCCTCCCGTCCGTCTGCCACCTTCCAAGCAACAGGGCCCGGGCGGGGGACATTGGTGGCCTGGGCCGCGGGGTGCCGGTTCTAACGGGGCTGCTCTCTCCCGTTCCCCGTCTCCCTTCCCCCGCCCGGCCACGCGGCCAGAGGACTTCCATCCGGCGGACTCGGCGGCGGGCCCCGCAGGCCGCATGCGCTGCGTCATCTGCCACCGCGGCTTCAACTCGCGCAGCAACCTGCGCTCGCACATGCGCATCCACACGCTGGACAAGCCCTTCGTGTGCCGCTTCTGCAACCGCCGCTTCAGCCAGTCGTCCACGCTGCGCAACCACGTGCGCCTGCACACGGGCGAGCGCCCCTATAAGTGCCAGGTGTGCCAGAGCGCCTACTCGCAGCTGGCGGGCCTACGCGCACACCAGAAGAGCGCGCGCCACCGGCCACCCAGCGCCGCGCTGCAGGCGCACTCGCCAGCGCTGCCCGCCCCGCACGCGCACGCGCCCGCGCTCGCCGCCGCCGCCGCGCACCACCTGCCGGCCATGGTTCTGTGAGCGCGCCCGCGCCCCCGCCCGGCCCCGCGCGCCCCTCGCCCTCCGCCCAGATCCCCTGCCCTGCTGGGGGTGCTCCCCGGAAGTGGCCCCCAGGCACCCCCGCCTCGCCCCATCTCGCAGATGAGGGCGCTGAGCGCGGCGTCCCTCCCTAGGCCGCGCAGCTGGTGCGGCTGCTAGGCCGCCTCCTCTGGGAGGGGGTCCTCCTGCCCGACCTCCGCCCGGAGTTCCCCTCCTGCTGTAGAGCCGGGCGCCTAGACTGGCATCCCTCTCGTGGGTGGCAGGAGAGCGGACTTAGAGCCCCCCAGGGCCCCTCAGCAGAGGAAGGGGAGTTCCGACCTCCGCCAGCGAGAGTCCGGTGCTTCGGAATGGAGGGAGGGCGACCTCATCGTCAGGGTGCGGCCTGGTTCGGGGGTTGGGGGGGGCGCCATCTCCTTTTCCGTCCCCTGGGACTGGTGTCCTGAAGTGTCGGGAGACCTGACGCAGCCTGGACAGGCGCGGGCTACTGGGGTCCATCGGAAGCCAGAAGAGACCCGGAGAGATCTGCATCTTCAGGGTCCCTCTCTCCTTTAGGCCACCTTACCCCAAACCTGGCTCCTGGGGAATGGATGAACAAGGAGTTCTTTGCAGTGCGCCAGGCAGGTAGAGAGTAAAGGCACAACGGAAAACCTCTGTAGGACCCCGAGCAAGACCCTGCACCACTTTGGGCCTCAGTTTCCCCATCTGTAAAATGAGAGAGTTGGACCAATGCCCCCTCCCCTTCAGTTGTGACATCATGCCTGGGGAAGGCGAAAGTTTCCCCCAGCCCCTTCCAACACACACACTCCAGCGAGAGGAGAGCAAGACTGGAACCGCTGCCCTGGAGGTTATGGTGGCTTCTGTGGCCTAGAAGCGTTTCCAAGGTGTGCCCAGTCCCAGGACTTCCGCCCCGTCTGCCCACACTTCCTTGGTCCGTGTCCGTTTCCCCAAACTCCGGCCGTGCGCGCCCTCTGGTGTCACCTCTCACACCTTGCAGTCATTTACCAGGATTCCCGTGGGGCGTTTTGTAAAATAAAGAAACTATAATATTAATGAAAAGTTTAAAATGTATAGAGTTTTCAAGAAACTGTGTTCTACTTCCAGAAAAATGGTCACTTTAACCTTGTAAATATTTATCTAAAATGATATTTACAAACTGTGATATAATATTATTTGATTGTATATGTACAACTGTAAATACATTTGTACCTCTCTTGTATTCTAAAATAAAATTACTTGGAGCATTTATCATTTAGCACCTGAATGGGTGGACACTTTTGTCTGCATGAAGGAAAAATAGCAAGTGCCTAGAAGCGGCCGGGCATGCCTGGTTGGGATCAAGCCTGTAATCCCAACACTTTGGGAGGCCAAGGCCAGCGAATTACCTTCAGCAACAGTGGGAGACCTTATCTCTTTAAAAAAAATTGTTTTGGGGCCGGGCGCGGTGGCTCACGCCTATAATCCTAGCACTTTGGGAGGCCGAGGTGGGTGGATCACCTGAGGTCAGGAGTTCAAGACCAGCTTGGCCATCATGGTGAAACCCCATCTTAAAAAAAAAAAAAATTGTTTTGGCTGCGAGCGGTGCCTCACACAGGCGGCTCACCTGAGGGCAGGAGCTCGGGGCCAGCCTGATCAACACGAGAAACCCTATCTCTACTAAAAATACAAAATTAGCCAGGCTTGGTGGCGGGTGCCTGCAATCCCAACTTCTTAGGAGGCTGAGGCAAGAGAATCGCTTGAACTTGGGAGGTGGAGTTTTCGGTAAGCCAATATCCTGCCATTGCACTCTGCAGCCAGGCAACAGAGCAAGACGAAAGAAAGAGAGAGAGAGAGAGAAAGAAAGAGAAAAGAAGTTCGTAGAAGCTGGAAGGGGCTGGTAAGAGTTGTTCCACTTACTGGGGTGTACAGGAAAATTCTGTCTGTCACAACTGGTATTTTAGATCACAGTGAGATGGGCCACAGTGCAAAGCAACTGGAAATCTTGAAAGGGGCTGGGCAGACTTGGCACGGTGGCTCACACGTGTAATCCCAGCACTTTGGGAGGACGAGGCGGTAGATCACGAGGTCAGGAGTTTGAGACCAGCCTGACCAACATGGGAAACCCCATCTCTAATAAAAATACAAAAATTAGCTGAGTGTAGTGGTGCACACCTGTAATCCCAGCTACTCAGGAGGCTGAGGAAGGAGAATCGCTTGAACCCAGGAAGCAGAGGTTGCAGTGAGCCGAGATCAGGACACTGCACTCCAGCCTGGGCAACAGAGTGAGACTCTGTCTCAAAAAAAAAAGAAAGGGGCTGGGCAGATTTCTCCTGGTTTCCAGCTGGCTCAAAAATCAGTGCCTTATTTTGTAACTTCCCCCAAATAATTATTTTTTCATTTTAATGGGCATCTCTAAGGAGTTCAAGCAGCCAGTGGGAAACGGCCAAGATGGCCACCAAGTGCCCTCCCAATGCCTAGACTCTCCAAACGTTCTGGGCACCCATTTCCAGACCCTCTTGAAGAAGACCAAGGAGCAGGAAGGCCTCAAGTTAAAGCCAGAGGGCTTCATGGTTCCTATAGGGCCAGACTTGCTTCTTCTTTCCAAGAAAGAGGTGCATGCAGGGGAGAGTGAGTTCACACCTGTGCTCCAGCATGCACCAGACACAAGGGTGTCATCTTCCAACCCACTGGGTGTGTTGCTTCCTGGCATCCCACACGCACAACTCTGCATCTTCGTTTGTTTGTTTTTGAGATGGAAACTCACTCCCTTACCCAGGCTGCAGTACAATGGTGCAATCTCGGCTCACTGCAACCTCCAACTCCCAGGTTCAAGCGATTCTCCTGCCTCAGCCTCCGAAGTAGCTGGGATTACAGGTGTGCAACACTGTACCCAGCTAATTTTTCTATTTTTGGTAGAAATGGGGTTTCACCATGTTGGACAGGCTGGTCTCAAACTCCTGACCTTGTGATCCACCTGCCTCAGCCTCCCAAAACACTGGGATTACAGGCAACTCTGTGTCTTCATCTGGCACATGTGTGCATACATGCACACCGGCAGACACTTGGGAATTCACACTTGGACACACAGGCCAGCCCCATTTGAAACTTCAGGTGTGCACTCCCAAAGACCCCTCCTCCCGATACTTTGAGGAATTTGTCTGGCACCCTGGAAATAGGGACACAGGCAGTGTTGGACACCTGATGAGTTCGCTGGCAGGCCCCACCTGGGGTTCACTCCCTCAGGCCAGTGAGGGAAGTCACCCTTGGCTCTCCTCCCACTGGAACCTTGCTTGTCCTTTGACACCCCACCGTTAGGCTCCCGATGCCTCTGGTGCCCCTGCATTTTCCCCTCCTACGCAGCCCCCACCCAGGCCTCTACATTCCTTTGACCAAAGCGTATCTGTCCTGAGTCCCCCTGCCTTGGATGCCAGTGGGTGAAGTGGGATTAAACTCCCTCCTGCCTACATGTTGAGACTCTCAGGAAGTAACTCTGGTTCCTGAAGTAGGGCCTGCCAGAATCAGACCTCAGAGAAGTCAGTGAGGACCTCGAACAAAAATCTCAGTAGTTCTTCATAGGTCATTCTGCTCTGTGAAGTCTCAGCTAGGATTCCAGGGTCCACATCCGAGGCTCCAGAACCCACCTGGTGGCAGCTGGCTGTAACTGCAGACCGAGGTGTCTGGTTTGCCCACAGATCTGTTTCCACAGAAGTGTGCTGCCCCGGGTGCCAGGGCCTGGGATAGCAGGGTGAACAGATGTAACTTGTGGTTTGCACGCTGGAGGGAGGCATAATGCTGAAAAGCCTAACCTCTTACTTTTTGCTTTTCCAGCAGAGGCCTGAGTCCCTTTTCCTGAGAATTTAGCCCCCCGCACTCCCCAGTCAGACATGCAAACACAGCCATGGCAGTTTCTGTGGGCCAGCCCTGGGCTTGGGGCTTTATTTATTTATTTATTTATTTTGAGATGGAGTTTCGCTGTTGTTGCACAGGCTGGAGTGCAATGACTCACTGCAACCTCCGCCTCCGGGTTCAAGTGATTCTCCTGCCTCAGCCTTCCAAGTAGCTGGGATTACAGGCATTTGCCATCATGCCCAGCTAATTTTTTGTAATTTTAGTAGGGATATGGTTTCACCATGTTGACCAGGCTGGACTTGATCTCTTGATCTCTTGATCTGCCCGCCTCAGCCTCCCAAAGTGCTGGGATTACAGGCGTGAGCCACCACACCCGGCCAAGGGAGGCTTTGTTAATACAAGCATGGCTTTGGTGGGTGAGAAGGGCAGCAGATGCTTCTACCACTCACCCCACTGGGCAGCCCCGGGAGGACATCTAAGGCAGCTGCTCGCACTCCCTTACCACAGCCCTTTCTGATGCCCACTGTTCTTGAATCTCTTGAAGTAGAGGAACAGATATCCTGATTTTCCAGCTTCCCTCCTGCCTTGCAGGTGGCCTGCTGGGATGTGTGTCTGTGGGTGAGCAGGGGAAGTTCTGGATGGAGGCAGGTCAGCTGTCATGCACCGCTCTTTCTCCACAACATCATTGTCTCGAGATAGTCAGACTTACCTGTCAGCTCAGGGCTTGAAAGGCAAGTGTTTCAAGAGAACCAGGAGGAAGTTGAATGGTCTATTCTGATCTTGCTTTGGAAGTCACAGAGAGGCATTTCTGACATATGCTGTCCAGCAAAGCTGTCACAAGCCCATCCTGTGGCAGGAGAGGATGCATAGACCCCACTTTTTTTGTTTTGTTTTGGTTGTTTTGTTTGATACAGAATTCTGCTCTGTTGCTCAGGCTGGAGTGCAATGCTGCAGTCTCGGCTCATTGCAACCTCTGCCTCCCAGGTTCAAGCCGTTCTCCTGCCTCAGCCTTGCAAGTAGCTGGGTTTACAGGCACCTGCCACCATGCCCAATTAATTTTGTATTTTTAATAGAGACAGGGTTTCACCATATTGGTCAGGCTGGTCTCAAACTCCTGACCTCAAGTGATCCACCTGCCTCAGCCTCCCAAAGTGCTGGGATTACAGGCATGAGCCACAGTGCCTGGCCAGGCCCCACTTCTTGATAGAAGAAGTATGAAAATATTCAGGGACATGCTTAACATAACTATAGACATTGACGCTGTTTCTAATACTTTCAGAAGTAATGCTTGATGAGCAGCCTTAGGCTGAAATCTGTGTGTACATCTCTGCTTAGAAAGTTTATGTAGTTAGGCTGGGCATGGTGGCTCACTTTGGGAGGCTGAGGCAGGTGGAGCACGAGGTCAGGAGTTCAAGACCAGCCTGACTAACATGGTGAAAACCCGTCTCGACTAAAAATATAAAAATTAGCTGGGCATGGTGACACATGCCTGTAATCCCAGCTATTCTGGAGTCTGAGGCAGGAGAATCATTGAACCCATGAGACAGAGGTTGCAGTGAGCTGAGATCCTGCCATTGCACTCCAGCCTGAGCAACAGGAGAGTCCATCTCAAAAGAAAAATAAAAAAGAAAGTTTATGCAGTTGGCTAGGTGCAGTGGCTCACGCTTATAATCCCCGCACTTTGGGAGGCACGGGTGGGCAGATAACTTGAGGCCAGGATTTCAACACTAGCCTGGCCAACATAGGGAAACCCTGTATCTACTAAAAATATAAAAATTAACTGGGTGTGGTGGCAAGGGCCTGTAATCCCAGCCACTTGGGAGGCTGAGGCATGAGAATCACTTGAGCCCGGGAGGCAGAGGTTGCAGTTAGCCAAAATCACACCGTGGCACTCCAGCCTGGGCAACACAGCAAGACTCCGTCTCAAAAACAAAAACAGAAAAAAGTGTATGCAGTTATTGCAACATTTTGATGGAACACAGGTTGGAGCCAGTAAGTGGATGAGGAATGGGCCAAGAGTTTTGGGCTGCAGAGTCCCGGCTGCCCCTGTTTTCATGTTTTTCAGGATTTCCTTGCTGGTTACTTTCACCTGGAGTTCACTTGTTCCATTGGGTCTGTGGTTCAAATGAGCCTCATTTCAAGGCTCATTCAAATGCTACCTCTGTCAGGTGGGCTTTTCTGTCTGTCCTCCCTCTCCCTTCCCCATCCTTGAACATCTTAACACCTTGATGACTGGGGCTTCAAATGATCCAGCTCTGTGACCCCACAGCAAATGCCTGTTGAAGAAGTTTATCCGGCCAGGTGCAGTGGCTCACGCCTGTAATCCCAGCACTTTGGGAGGCTGAGGCGGGCAGATCATGAGGTTAGATCAAGACCATCCTAGCCACCACGGTGAAAACCCGTCTCTACTAAAAATACAAAAAAATTAGCTGGGCTACTCGGGAGGCTGAGGCAGGAGAATCGCTTGAACCAGGGAGTTGGAGGTTGCAGTGAGCCAACATCACACCACTGCACTCCAACCTGTCGACAAAGTGAGACTCCAATGCAAAAAAAAAAAAGAAAAAGAAAAAGTTTATTTATCAATTCAACAGAGATTTACTGAGAGCTGTCCTTTCTTTCTTCTTTCCTTCTTTCGTTCTTTCGCTCTGTCACTCAGGCTGGAGTACAGCGGCATAATCTCGGCTCACTGCAACCTCCACCTCCCAGGTTCAAGCGATTCTCCTGTCTCAGCCTCCCCAGTAGCTGAGATTACAGGCACCCACCACCACACCCGTCTAATTTTTGTACTTTTAGTAGAGATGGGGTTTCACCATGTTGGCCAGGTTGGTCTTGAACTCCTGACTTCAAGTGATCCACCTGCCTCAGCCTCCCAAAGTGCTGGGATTACAGGTGTGAGTCATTGAGCCTGGCCCAGAGCTGTTTTAAGGGTCCTAAAAATCTGTCTTAATCAAGTATTGTAAGGTATGCTGACATTGAAGAAAGATCTTTCTTCTAGAAACAAGAGGCAGGGCACGCTGTGCAGAGCTGCTCCAGAAAGCACCGGTTGGTCAGGAGGCAGAAGGAAGGAGGGGAAAACGTGAGAGCTTTTATTGTGGTTTCCATGGGGAGGAATGGGTGAGGCAAGGTAAGCTGGCTGAGGATTGGTTGGTTTGAATAATTGCAGGAGGTGCCGGGGTAGAAGGGTTTTCCCTCCTTGTCTGGTGCCTGGCCTTGGGATGATCGGGGCAGCTGGATACTGGCCCTGAGTAAGAGCACCTAATGAAGGAGGCATGTGTGGGTATGGGCTGTGGATTGGGTGCTGTGCATTTGCAAGGCACCTCCTGGGTGAATTGTTCACTCTCTCCAGGAACCGGTTAACCCTGGATGGGGCAGTCCCTCTGGAAAGAGCAAGGCCCCAAGATACCAAAACATCTGAGTACAAAAAAGCAAAGGCATGGTTAATACAAAGGCTTACTATATATCAGGCATAGTTCTAGGAACTGGGCAGTGAACAAAATGGACAGTCTGGGTATTTGTGGACTTCATAGCCTGTGGGAAGATAGGCTATGAGCAGACAAGCACATCTGTATTTTGTAAATATAGCGTATTTTTTCAACAAATATTTTATGGCTGTCCTGTGTGCCAGGCCTGGTTCTAAGCATTGATATATGATTAACAGAACAGATAAAGTCCCTGTTTTCAGCACACACATGTTCTAGTGGAGGGAGACTGCAATGAATGAACCAAAAAAAAAAAAAAAAAAAAAGAAAGAAAAGAAAATTCAAGGCTGGGCGTGGTGGCTCTCACCTGTAATCCCAGCACTTTAGGGAGGCTGAGGCGGGCAGACCACTTGAGGTTAGGAGTTCGAGACCAGCCTGGTCAACATGGTGAAAACCCATCTCTCCTAAAAATACAAAAATTAGCTGGGCATGGTGGCAGGTGCCTGTAATCCCAGCTACTCTAGGAGGCTGAGGCAGGAGAATCACTTGAACCCAGGAGGCAGAGGTTGCAATGAGCCAATATGGCACCACTGCACTCCAGCATGGGTGACAAGAGCAAGGTTCTGGTTCAAAAAAAAGGAAGGAAGGAAGGAAAAGAAAATTCGGTGACAAGAAGTATAACAGGATCAAGGGCTAAAAAAAAGGACTAGAGGGTTGTTCCAGATAAGGTGATCAGGGAAGTCTTCTCTGAGGAGGTGATGTTTGAGCAAGATGTGAGTGAGGAGAAGGAGCCAGCCACACAAAAACCTGGGAGAAGAGAATTCATGCAGAAAGAGACCCGAGTGAAAAGCCCTGGAGTGATGATGAGCTTGGTGCTGAAGCCGTCTGGTCCTGAGGCAGGAGAAAAGAGTCTGGAGGCAGGGAACATAAGGCTAATTTATGCTGACTTTCTATAACTAAATTAAAAGGAAAACCCCAACTTTCCACGTCCAAGTAACAAAAGAACCAGAGGCTACTCCCTTTGTGGTCCCCACTTTTCTATGTGGCCAATGAAAAACTGAAAGTACCTCTGATTGGTCCCTTCCCACAACCCATCAGGCTGGTTGGGGGCCAAGTCTTCATCTGCATAGGAGTATAACTTTCTTTTTTCTTTTTTTTATCCAGGTACCTTCTCTGTCACCCTGTTAGTAGGCTGAAAGGAGAGCAAGGTACAAGTAGGGAGTATAACTTTCTAACTTAACTTCAGCCTCTGAATGATCACTTTCCACAACCAATCAGACATTTGCATAGGGTATAACTTGTAACTTCACTTTGGCCTCTGATTGGTCACTTTCCACAACCAATCAGACTGATCACAGGCCATTCCTTCATTTACATAGGATGTACACCAAATAACCAATGGGAAACCTTTATACGGTATTTATATATTTATTTATTTATTATTTTAAACAAGGAGTTTAGTTTTATTTTCTCTGTGCATCTGCAAAATACTCAGAACCAACATAAAAAAGTAATCTTCCTGTGGGAAAAGTTACATTAAAAAGGGGAATGGGGTGGGGTGCTGAAAGAGATTAGTGCCTTAGCCCCAAGGAGCTACAGCATCTCTGACTGGTCCAAGGAATTGAAAAGATATTGGGAAGATGTAACAGGAGGAAGGAAAATGTGAATTTACTGAGGGAGAGGGCCCCGAAGCGGGCCTTGAGGGAGAACTGGTGGCCGGGAAGTGGGTCTGGGTGGAGGGAGAGGCCCCCGCTGGTAGCCATAGGGTGGGGGCCGTGGAGGGCCAGTGTATCCATGGAGGGGCATCAGTGGAGGAGGTCCACGCATACCATGTGGAGGCATAGGACCTGGGTGACCCATGGGAGATCCAAATGGAGGCCCTCGGGGCGGCATGCCCATTGGAGGAGGTCCAGGATGAGGCATTCCAGGTGGTGGTCAGGGCGGTGGCTGCCCCCCAGAGCCTGGGGGTCCAGCATGGGGATGTCTTAAGCCATGAGGGCCATGGTGTGCCAGCTGCATCTGAGACATCCCTGGATGGGGCATCCCACCTGGTGGGAATGGATGAGGATGTGAGTGTCCATGACCAGGATGTCCTGCCCCTGGGGTTCCTGCCAATGGGGGGCCATGTTCTGCAGCCCCAGGCGGCATAGGTGGTGGGGGCATGGCTGGGGGTATCCCAGGTGGGAGGGCTCCAGGAGGCAGCACTGGGGTTGGGAAGGAGCCAGGAGGAGGCATGCCTGGTGGAGGAAGCCCAGACCCCAGTGATGATACCACAGGATTGGGGGCAGAGGGTGGAGGAGGTGCATCTGCAAATAGCTGATGAGGGCGGTCAGCCTGGGAGAGTGGGTTCTGAGCTGCCAAAAGTCGTTCGGCTGCTGAGCCATGGCGCTCACCCTTGGAGTCCTTCTTGAAGGCATAAGATACAGTGATAGGGCGGTTACAGAGGTACTGCCCATTCATGGCTTCAATTGCTGCATCCGAAGCATCAAATGAAGCAAAATTAATAAAGGCATAACCTTTGGAGTTGCCTGTGTCAGGGTCCTGCATAATCTTAGGGGTTTGTAAGATGGCCCCAAAGGCGCTGAAAGTATCATAAAGCAACTTCTCATCAATCTCAGGGTCCAGGTTGCCAATGAAAATGTTGGCTCCTACATCCAGGTTTTTGTTGTGAGCTGATGCCTTGTTCACCGTATTGGCTTCCCATAGAGTTTGATCATGTTCATGATTTTAATGACATAGTCTGCATCTTCCTCACTCAAGAATTCCACAAAGCCATAGCCTGGGTGCTGGCCAGTGACTCTCTCCTTTGGCATGTGAGTGTTGACTACTGGTCCAGCCTGGAGAAACAGTTCCCACAGCAGCGGTTCACTAACCTTCTCATCCAGGCCCCCGACGTACACAGTGGCATCCTGGTTCCGCTCTGAGATCGGCCCGGCAGCCATGGCGAAGGAGCTCCCGCCGTCTCCTATATGGTATTTAAACCCCAGAAACTTCCGTAAGGAGGCGTTTGAGCTCCTTTGTTTGGGCTGTTCTCACCCTGTGGAGTGTACTTTCGTTTTTCAATAAATCTCTGCTTTTGTCACTTTATTCTTTCCTTGCTTTGCCTGTGTGTTTTGACCAAGACACCAAGAACCTGGGCACCCTCCACTGGTAACAGTCTGGCTGCAGCATAGTGAGTAATGCAGTGGGTTAGGACGAGAGTGAGGTCAGAGACAGGTAGGAGTCAAGAAGTGTGGAGCAGGGAAGTGATTTAATCTGCTTTCAAAGCTCCCTCTGGCTGCTGTGTGGAGATTGGATGGTAGGAAGGACAAACGTAGAATTAGGAAGACAAGCTAGGAAGTTATCTCCCTGGTAAGAGATGCCATTGATCAGCCTGGGGTGGTGGCTTTGGAGATGCACAGATGTGGGGGCATCAGTGAATCTTAGAATTTGTCTGCCACTGAAATTACATAGGGAGTTAAAACAGGCACGGACTTCTGGACCTTACCTTTGCAGAGCCTTGTGAAAGGAAAATAAATCTTGGGGCACCACAGTCACTAACCTAAAGGGACAAGTCAAGCTGGGAACTGCTTAGGGAAACCTGCCTCCCATTCTATTCAGTTACCCCTCTGCTCACTGAGATAAATGCGTACCTGCTTGCCTCCTTCAGAGACACTAATCAGAAACTCAAAATAATGCAACCTTTTGTTTCTTATCTACCTATGACCTGGAAGCCCCTTTCCAGCTTTGAGTTGCCCGCCTTTCCAGACCGAACCAATGTTCATCTCACATATGTTGAGTGATGCCTCATGTCTCCCTAAAATGTTGTAACATCAAACTGTGCTCTGACCACCTTGGCACATGTCGTCAGCACCTCCTCGGGTTGTGTCGCAGGCCTACATCTTCAATATTGGCAAAATAAACTTTCTACATTAACTGAGATCTGTCACAGATATTCAGGGTTTACAGCCTCAATGCCTAAGGAATCTACACCTTTTTTTTTTTTTTTTTTCTCCTGAGATGGAGTCTCACTCTGTCACCCAGGCTGGAGTAGTGATATGATCTCAGCTCACTGCAACCTCCACCTCCCAGGTTCAAGTGATTCTCCTGCCTCAGCCTCCCGAGTAGCTGGGCCTACAGGCACACACCACCACGCCCAACTAATTTTTTATTTTTAGTAGAGATGGGGTTTCACCACATTGGCCAACCTGGTCTCAAACTCCTGACCTCAGGTGATCTGCCTGCCTCAGCCTCCCAAAGTGCTGAGATTACAGGTGTGAGCCACCGCACCTGGCCTGGAATCTATACTTTTAACAAGCCCTCTGGGATATGCCGCTCTGTCTCTGGGTGCCCACTTGTCTACTGGTGGTAAAGGGGTAAGTGTGGCCGGGCTCGGTGGCTCTTGCCGGTAATCCCAGCACTTTGGGAGGCCAAGGTGGGCGGATCACTTGCATTCAGGAGCTTGAGATCAGGTTGGGCAACATGGTGAAACCTCATCTCTACGAAACAGATACAAAAAATTAGCTGAGCCTGGTGGCACATGCCTGTAGTCCGAGCTATTCAAGATGCTGAAGTGGTAGGATCACCTGAGTCCAGGAGGTTGAGGCTGCAGTAAGCCATAATCATGTCACTGTACTCCAGCCTGGCTGATAGAGTAAGGCCGTATCTTAAAAAAAAAAAGGGGGGGTAGGGATGGGTAAGGGGAAGTCTGGTGTCTTGGATTCTAGTCCCAGCAATGGGTCTGTTTGTGGGGGCTCAGTGGCCCCAAGTGATCATCAGGGATAGCAATGCCTGCCTCTAAGTTGCACTGAAAGTGAGGAATAAATAACAGCGTTTGTGAAGCAGTCGGGTTACGTTTGGTAAATAGTGCAGGCTCACGGGCAGTTGGAACGCACATCGGCCTTGCAGCTATCTGCTAATGTGAATTCCAGTCCTATTGGGGCCTCAATTTCCTCCTCCATAAACTGGTATCCGTAATGCAACCTTGTGACAGGCTCCATAAATGTGAATGTTGTGAGAATGTGCAGGGTAAAGGCAACGTCTGTCTCTCGGGATGAACTTGAATGGTGTCAGGCCTACACTCTCCTACCACTGGGCCTGGCTCCCCGGCTGCTGGGGCTATGCCGGCTCAAAGTACACCATTGCCCTCTTATGGCCGAGGAAGGACAGGGCGGTGGGGCTGGTCTCTAGCGCCTTCCACCAGGCACTGCGGAGGGCGAGGGTCTGGCAGCCCAATTACAGGGCCTGTGGGCACTAGCATTCATGTCATCTACTGCCTGGCAGGGTTGGCAGGATTTTTTTTTTTTTGAGACGGAATCTTGCTCTAATGCCCAGGCTGTAGTGAAGTGAGGGGTGATCTCGGATCACTGCAACCTCAGCCTCCTAAGTTCAAGCAATTCTCCTGCCTCAGCCTCCAGAGTAGCTGGGATTACAGGTGCATGCCACCATGCCCGGCTAATTTTTGTATTTTTTGTAGAGACAGGTTTCACTATGTTGGTCAGGCTGGTCTGGAACTCTCGATCTTGTGATCTGCCCGCTTCGACCTCCCAAAGTACTGGGATTACAGACATGAGCCACTGCACCCGGCCCAGGGCTGGCTTTCTTAAGTGTGGTTGTGAGCCTTAAGTGAAAGAAATGTTGACCCTTTGGAGATTGATAAAACAATTGGCTCAATGGATCTTTCTTCAGGAGGTGGACTTGGTTTACCTGCTTTACTGACCACAGCTGATGCAAATTATTTCATTTAACCCTCTTTAGAGTCCCCGTGCATGGGGAATTATCTTCCCCAATTAGTTTCTTGTGAATGCTGCAAACCATGCAGGGCAAGAAGAGCGAGAGGTTAGTGGGGGAGGGGGAGAAGGGGCGAGGGGTACGTTCCTATCAAAACGGAGCCGCAGCTGGGCGCGGTGGCTCACACCTGTAATCCCAGCACTTTGGGAGGCTGATGCGGAAGGATCACGAGGTCAGGGGTTTGAGACCAGCCTGACACACATCGTGAAACCCAGTCTCTACTTAAAAAATACAAAAATTAGCCCAGCGGTGTGGCATGCACCTGTAATCCCAGCTGCTTGGGAGGCTGAGGCAGGAGAATTGCTTGAACCTGGGAGGCAGAGGTTGCGGTGAGCCAAGAGCGCGCCTCTACACTCCAGCATGGGTGACAGAGCAAGATTCCGTCTCAAAATAAAATAAATAAAACGGAGCAGCAGAAAAATCCACAGAGACATCCGTCTATTCCCCGCTGAATCCTTAGAACAGCGCCTGGCACACAGAGAGCGCTCAATTTGCTGTATGACTAAATGCAAGCCAAGATCTTTGTATTATGTGCGCACTTGCCTTCCCTACCAGATATACTGGCTTGCAAGTATACTGTTTTCTTAGACGATTTTTTACTTTTTTTCCAGAAGAAATATTGGCATAAATTAGCTCGCTCAAAGGAGTCTTTATGAAAAGACAGAACCAAGTGAGAAGCATCTGGAGCCCGGTTTGGGGGCTATAGATGATGCTGCTGAGCCAGCATCCACGGGGCGGCAGGGACGTAGAATACTGGGACTACTAGGAATGGTGTGGAAAGGGGCTCTTCTTTCTGTTCAAATAGTGTTTCTGTAGATCCCATCTCTTCATCTTCCTGAGCTCTCTCTTACAAAATATCGGATTTCAGCAGCTTAGAATTGGACAGAAACTCAGAATTCCGTTTTTCAATTATTTCTAACCCTGGTAAACAATAAATGGGATGATAAGTACAAGAGAGTTTTGGTGGCCGGGCGCGGTGGCTCACTCCTGTAATCCAAGCACTTTGGAGGCCAAGGTGGGCGGATCACCTGAGGTCGGGAATTCAAGACCAGCCTGACCAACATGGTGAAAGCCTATCTTTAAAAAAAACAAGAGTTTTGGTAAAAAGTCAAACGACGTGAGATTTTATTATTCCAAGGGTGCTCCCTTACCAATAGTAAACATGGCAGCTCGGTTCCCTTCCCTTCGTGTTCGCCTTATGGTTGCCAATTGTAAACATGGCCTCCAGGTCGTGAGTTCTCATTGGTCGCTGCACCGAGTCCCCGCCCTTCCCCGCCCCTCAGGACGCGGCCGGGAGTTGCGGAGCCGGATATTGCGGCTCCTGGCTGAGCTGCGTCTGCGCAACTCTTTGGCGCCAAGATGGCGATGGAGATGAGGCTTCCAGTGGCTCGCAAGCCTCTTAGCGAGAGACTGGGCCGCGACACTAAGAAACATCTAGTGGTTCCGGGGGACACAATCACTACGGACACGGGATTCATGCGGTACGTGGAGACTTGGGGGAGTCTAGGCTTCAGAGAGCGCTTCAGGGCTCTCTGCACGTGGCCCACGCCTCGTATCCCTGAGTGTCCATAACTCACCGCAGGACCCACGGGACATCGCCTGAGCATCCTACTCGCCTCGCTTCCGAGCCTCGTGCTTCTTACCCCCGGCATCTTGTGTGTCCCCGTCTGCATTCGTTTCAGCTCCTGACCTCCGGTGGCTGTGACTTTTGGGTTTTCTGCCCGAAGTCCAAATCTTTGAGGCTTCCTTGTAGGAGACCTGGAAAACTGGAGAGGGTTAGGAGCAGGCTGTCTTTCCAGTTTTCAGCTGTCTGAGGGGACGGTGAGCGTTCTTGACTTGGTCTCCTTCTCTTCAGTTTAGAATCCTTAATTGTTCGAGCTTAGGGCAAACCGTTATATTGCGCTGCCTGCACCCATTTACACACAGTTTGAAGCTAAGGGGTGCAGTACAGTGCGTTGTAGTTAAGAGGGCAGGCTCTTGAGTCAGATAATTGGGGTTACTTCCAGTCCTGCTACCATCGCATTTATTAGCGGCATTGCCTCTGCCCTGGCCAGTTTCCTCTTCTGTAAGATAATAATAACAACAGTATGATACGGTAATGAGGAGTAAATGAGATCATTATGTAAGAAAAGAAGTATAACCAGCCATTACATCATCATCATAGTTAACACTAGTGGTATTTCAAACTTTTATTTTTTTGTACCTGTATATATACAAGGGGCACAACATTCATAGCATTGCCCTTTAACCTGTTAGTTTAAGGTTAGTGGATCCTAGAAGATCTCCCCCCCCACCCCCGCTTTTTGAGAGGAAGTCTGGCCTTGTCTCCCAAGCTGGAATGTAGTGGTGCTGTCTGGGCTCACTGCAACCTCTGCCTCCCGGGTTGAAGCGGTTCTCCTGCCTGAGCCTCCTAAGTAGCTGGGATTACAGGTACCTGCCACCACGCCCGACTGATTTTTGTATTTTTAGTAGTGATGGGGTTTCACCGTGTTAGCCAGGCTGGTCTCGAACTCCTGACTGCAAGTGATCCACCCGCCTTGGCCTCCCAAAGTGCTGGGATTACAGGTGTGGGCCATCATGCCCAGCCCCTAGGAAATCTTTGGATTCATTCTTTGATTAATGCTTTCAACATATGTTTACATTTTGTGCAGTTGGGATATAACAGCAGAGTGAAAAATCTCTGTCCTGGTGGAGTGCTAACAGGCAGAGATAGACAATAAGTGCAACGAATAAGTTATTCAGAACATTAGGCAGTCAATGCAATGGGGGAAAAGTGGAGCAGGGTAAATGGAATGTGGTGGGAAGATGGTGGGAGGGTGGCAACCTGGTTGGGGGGGGGGGGCTGTTTTCAGTGGCCTAGTCCAAGTGGGCCTGCTGGAGAGAGTGCCATCTGAGCAGACCTGAGTGAGAGGAGTGACCTCCAAGTAGATGTCTGAACAAGGAGCACGAAGGCGGAGGGAGCAGCCAGCCCAAAAGCCAGCCTTCACAGGGGCAGCCTGTTAGCTTTGAGGAACACCTTGTTCTTGAAGGGAGAGCACCGCAAGTTACCCTGGGATCCTTTCTTTGTGTCTTTGCCTTGCGTCAGGGGCCATGGAACGTACATGGGAGAGGAGAAACTCATTGCGTCTGTTGCCGGCTCTGTGGAGAGAGTAAACAAGTTGATCTGTGTGAAAGCTTTGAAAACCAGGTGAGAACAAAAGGTGTGTATTCCCTTTCTTGTGGCAT